CAGACCCAGTGTCCCGGATCTCTGGCAATGGCCCAGACCCCGTGACTCCTGCCTTCTCCTCTCTTGCACCTGCGTCTTTCACTCCATCCCGACCTCTCCAGGCCGGCTGGTGTGTTGAGGATGCCACGGTGGCCCCTGCACAAGCCCCCTGCAGACCCCTGGCTGCCTTTCTGGGAGGTGGCATGCCCACCTGCTGGGGGCTTTTGTCCATAGGAATGGAGCCTACTAGAACCCCAGAGGTGACTTGTGGCACCTTTCTCTGTCCACTCTCACATGCCCGCCTGTCCTTGGGTTGTGTTCATTACTTGGAGGCCACCCTGCCCACCACTCTGCTGCTGTCCTCTGTGTGGCCATCACAGGTGGACCCTGCTCCCTATTTCAGGCACTCTTCGACTGTTCCTTTCCGACTTGCAGCTCCTCCAAGTATTCCTTCTCTCACCTCAATTCTGATCATCTCCCACCCCCACAGCCTCTTCTTCCTTAGTCAGCCGAAGCGCATGGTCCTTCTATAACCCTCCCTCCATAACCGTAACTCCCTTGCTGCTCTCCAGCCTCAGTTCACCGGCCTGGGGAAAGCCCCGGGTAAATGTTCTGCTTTTGTTCTAAACCGGCGCCTACGTAGTAGCCAAGCGTGGTTGGTGGGGATGCGGGCCTGTGCTGACCCGTGTGCCTTCAAAGTCACGGTCACCACTACTCCTCCTCTGGGACTGTAGGTGGATTGTCAGTTACACAGATTGTTAAATAGAACTCAATGGGAAATGTAAAACTGAAAAATGTAACATTAAAGTTCACCTGGTAAAAGGGCCATGAGTGCATTTACAACGACAGAGGAAAGTCAGGGAACCTGAAGATCAATCAACAGAGACGAACTACACTGCAGAAGACAGAGCAAAAACAGGCACTCCGTGGTCCGCGGGACGATATCAAAGGGTCCAACACACAGGTAACTGGAGCCCCGAGAAGAGAGAAGGAACAAAATGGGACATAAACATGATTGACAACACAGCGCCCCAAAGTCCTCCACCACGGCGAAAGACCTAGTGTGTAGGCCCAAGAAGTTCAGCAAGACACATGCAAAGACCACACTGTGTGCGTTCTGGTTGAAGACAAAGGAAAACGTCTCCAAAGCAGACAGAGATGAGAGCAAGAATGAGAAGCACCGCTGGGTTCTTCCCGGAGACCCTGCAGAGCAAAGACAGCGAAACGGCAGCTTTTGAAGTTTTTTATACATAGACATGTGACTCAGCAGAGTCGCATATCCAGAGACAGTGTCCTGGAAGAACGAAGGTGAAGATAAAAGCATTTAAGGACAAATGTAAGCAAAAGAACTCATTGCTTCTTGACCCCCCACACAAGAAGTGGCAGAGGAAACTCTCAAGACTGCAGGGAAACAGACCAGGTGGGGCTTTGAGTCTTCAGCAAGAAGAGAAAAGCGTCAGAGAGCTAAGGACTCCGGGGCTGGAGAGGGTGAGAATGGGCACCTTCCAGAGGAAGAGGTCGGCTCTGGCGTGTCTGTGTCCACCACTGCTGCTGGCCGCTCTCCCTGAGGTCTGCTCCTGTCCCCCAGGGAAACCTCAGACCCCCAAGTGCAGTGTGTGCACCCAAGAGGACCCAGAGCGACACACGCGGGCCACTGCGGGTCACTGGCCCTGGGGACCTGGGTGCAGCCCCTTTCTGCACGAGGCATAGGCGGTGGGGGTGGCGGTGGGGGTGAGCAGCGGTGTGTGGACAGGCCCCCAGAGACAGAGCTAACGGGAAATGCTGATGCGCTTTCTCTACAGCTAATCACCAGTCGTGAGAGGCTTTGATGGACATCTAAGGAGTTTAGAACAGCACGTTGCATCGTGAGGACTTCCTGTGTGTGTGTGGGTGGCTTGTGGCTTTGGTCTCTTTGACTTTGGTCTCTTCATGTCCCAGTTGCTCCACTTCTGATCTGGCTCCCTGCTGATGGCCTGGGAAAGCAGCAGAAGATGGCCCAAGTGCTTGGGTCCCTGCACCCACGTGGGAGACCCAGATGAAGCTCCTGGCTCCTGGCTTCAGCCTGGCCCAGCATTGGCCATTATGGCCATCTGGAGAGTGAAGCAGCAGATGGAAGATCTCTCTCTCTCCCTGTCTTTCCCTCTCTTCAATTCTGACTTTCAAAATAAATAAAGAAATAAATCTTAAAATTAGAAAAAAAATGTTAGCGGAGATGGGTGGTGTAGGTTCTTGTCTTCGTGCAAGGTAGAATTCAGACGAGAGACAGAGAGCGGTGGTGAGCAAGGTAGCAAGGTTTAATGGGGTAGGGCATCCAGCTGGGACAGAATCAGAGAGAGAGAGAGGGTGTCCAGTCACTCAGACTGGGGAAAGCGAGGTCACACGGTTAAACTGAGAGAACACACCTGGCAGCCAGGCGGGCGGCTCAGCGGAGAGCTGAGTGCTGAGTGCGCAGTCTGTGTTCAGACTGGGGCTTATAGGGTAAGGGTTCAGTTCTCCCCGCTGTTTCTCGTTCCTCCTCCTTCTCCTTCTCCTCCTCCTCCTCCAGGACAAAGGGTTTGCAGAGTGTGAATTAGGGAAAATTCCTCCCAAGGTTTCACTATTCGGTGCCATCAGACTGGGAGGCCCAGCTGGCACTGGGCAGAGCAGCCTCCCCTAGGGCACCTGCCTTGGAGGAGGGAGGTAAAGTCTCATTGCTCGATGTTTTCGGGCCAGGTAACCTATCTGTGCTGAGCAGAGAGGATTCTCCTGGGGAGCTTTCCTTGGGGGGAGGCCCGAGACCACCTGGAAAGTTACTGGGGTCCGGGCAGGACTCTGAAGAGTAAAATCCTGGGCTGCTTCCACGGTGAGCTTCTGCAGATGTGGGCCCCTCTCATACACACAGGCTGATTTCTAACTTCCTATCTAAAATTATCTATTTGAACCTGGGCGGCCGCTTTCTCTCTTGGGTGTCTCAGTTCCCCACCTACAAACTGGAGTTTAACAAATTAGAAAGAGGTTAAGATCTAACCAGAAAACGAACACCCTAAGGCTTTGACAATGGAAGGGGTTATCATGTCTCCAATGTCACTGTGGGACTGAAGGCACCACGCTCTGTCTCCTTGGGGGATACAGCACTGGGCCCGGTTCCTTGCACAGGGGACAGGAGGGGACAGCTTTGAGATTCAGGGACAGAGAGACCAAGGTGGCCTGGGCACAGGGATCTGAAGGCTCCCAGCTGCTCTGGTGCCTCCCAGGGTGGCCTAACACCTGCTGCTGGACCCAACCCCCCACCCCACGAGCCACTGCCCCCAGGGGCCAGAGGGGCCTGCCTGCTGTGGGCCAGGGGTGGCTGCGGGAACATCTCTGTAGCCCTTTGTCACTCCTACACATGACACACATCCACATCCCACACCAAATCCGGTTTCTTTTACCAGTGGTTATAGTTTCCCAGCAATCACACCCTACATGGGAATTCTGGCAAAGTGAGACTGAATCTACAGGTTGCTGGCAGATGTGAGTAACAATGACGGCAAAGTTACACAACAGCCGGACAAACAGCAGGGAGGCCTGGGAACACGCTGGTGCGTTCCCGACGCCAGGCCCAGGCTGCTTTATGTAAGGTTTTGGAACAGGCCAAATTAACACGTGGTGTTAGAAGTCGGGACGCTGGATGCCGGGGAGGGGACAGAGGCAGGAAGGGGTGTGAGGAGGGTGCTGGGTGCTGAACGCTTGTGGAGTTTGGATTTGACATTTGACCCCACATCGTGGAGCCAGTGTGTGTTTTTCATGCACCCCAGGCCTTGTGTGCAAGGGAACCTCAAAACATTCGTGAAAACAGGGAATTAGGGACCTGCGCTGTGGCATAGTGGGTAAAGCTGCCACCTGCAGTGCCGGCATCCCATAAGGGCGCCGGTTTGAGACCTGGCTGCTCCACTTCTGATCCAGCTCGCTGCTGTGGCCTGGGAAAGCAGCAGCAGATGGCTCAAGTCCTTGGGTCCCTGCACCTGCGTGGGAGACCTGGAGGAAGCTCCTGGCTCTTGCCTTTGGATCAGTGCAGCTCCGGCCTGGCCATTGCGGCCAACTGCGGAGTGAACTAGCAGATGGACGACATCTCTCTCTGCCTCTCCTTCTCTCTCTGTGTAACTCTTAACTTTCAAATAAATAAATAAATCTTTAAAAAAAACCAGAGGATTAAAGGATACATTTATTTTGATGCAAAAAATAATTGACAGCTATGCATCATGTTTTCATATTGCAACTTCCCCGAACTTTTTGAAGAATCTCTGGTATGCATAGATTTCAATATTTTTTAAATTTTGCACCAAAACTTCTTTTAATTCCATTTTCCCATGAACTTCCCGTGAAGTCCCCTTACATCTAGTGGCTTGGGCCACCACCTGCCACTGTCCTTTCCTGGCCATCTGTAGCAGGGGCCTTGCCAGGCAGCACCATCCCAGGCCAGGAAAACTCCCCTCAGCCCTTCCCGAGACAGCCCACCTGCACACCAGGTGCCCCCGACTCTCGGTGGCCACAGCCGTCGGGTCGGTACCACCCCCGGGAATTCGCCCCGTGTCCTGGCAGGTCCCCTGGGTGTTGAGGCTGGGGCCCGTGGCATCCTTCCTTTTTGTGGACCTTTAGCACCTGACGTGAACCCACAGACCCGAGCGCCTGGAACTTCACCCTTGAACTTCACCCTCGAAGTTCTCTTTCCTCCAGGTAGCCCAGCTGGGTGGGTTTGAGCTTGGGGTGGTTTTGCCTTTACAAACTGCGTGGCCGTGAGATCAGCTGTTCCCTCCCTATGCTTTTTCTCGTCAAATAACGACAGCACTCCTGATGCCGCAGAGCTGGGGGGGCTTGGGAGCGGGGGGGCGGGTTGCTTGGGGGGGTGAGCGTGGAGCAGACTGAAGAATGGTGCTGTCGCTCTGTCCCCAGGGGGCGTTCTCAGTCCTCGCTTGGGTCAGGGCCGGGGAGAGCAGATCCTGGAAGTGAGTAGTCCTCTCATTGCTCAAAAGCACCCCCAAATAATCCACTGCTTGAAAAAATTCAAGACAACGCTAGCAATTTATTGATTTCCTATATTTCCAAAAAAGCAAATACATGGTATAACATACAGGGAAGCTGGGCTGGGCTGGCACAGGCTCTCATGCAAACACAAAGCGGCGGGGAGGACAGGCTGTTGGGAAGCCCCAAGATTCCTCGCGGCAGCCCAGGCCTTCCTGCCCCGGCCCTCCCCGCACCCAGCCTGGGTCATTTGAGCCCCTGCCTGTCAGCCAGGTGCAGAGGTGGACTGGCAGTGGTATCCTCGCCCAAGAGGTGTGGGGTCTGTGTCACCTGGCCACTGCTGGTGGCCAATTGCTGGGTTTGTCTCAAGCCTGGGAGAGCCCAGGGCCAGGGTGGGAACAGAGTCTGTGTCCCCTCTCATTTGTCTGCAGATCGGACCGTCATGTTCTGGGTGTGGAATGTGGTCGTGTGAGGCCCAGGCTCAGCACCAGAGGACAAGGCTGCACCTGCCAGGTGCCCCGCCCCTTCCCAGTCCTCCTGAGTCCACGAAGCCGTCTTCCAGGCTGACTGCTGGGGTGGGAAGTGGCCTGGCCTGGGCTGAGTGCAGTCGGGAGGCGGAGGCAGAGGCCGAGGAGGAGCCAGCAGCAGCCCATGTCCGAGTGCAGAGGGACCCGGGCCTGTGCCACGGCGGGTGGGGGCTGGGGCAAGGACGCTGAGAGGGCTCCCGACAGGTTTCCTCGGAGGCTCCCCCGGGAGCCCTCCTGCTACTGCGCAGCTGCAAGGCAGGCAGGCTGGCTGGGGAGCAGGGCAGTGGGGCGTCCCCGGCTGGGACGCACGGAGAGATGCTGTCTTCCCTGGTCTAGTCAAGTGCCCCCGGATGCAGCATCGGGTTCAGGTCAGCCTCGTGCGCTCCCCGCACCGGAAGCCGGGGTGGGTAGGATGCCCAGCCCCGGCCTGTTGCCCTGGCCATTCCCTGAACGGCTCTTTGGCTTTCAGCACCACCTGGAACTTCTTTTTCCCCCGCAGCATCAGGACTCCAAGCCCCCTACCAGCCTCGCCCACGCGGCACCGGTGAGCCCCATCTTGCTGGCTCCGGCTCCCAGGGCTGTCCTCACCGCACAGAGCCAACACGATGGTCCCGGCCTCCCTGGGCCCCGCCCCGCGCCCGCCCCAGGCCTCCTGAGACTGCTGAGATCTTCCCATGAGATACAGGAGCCGGGCCGGCCTCCACCCTGCAAAGCAGCCTCTCGGGGAGGCGGCAAGCCCCAGCCCCAGGCCCAGCCCCAGCCCCAGCCCCAGCCCCAGCTCCTCTCCCCTCCTGCCGGGCACTGGGCAGTGGTGGGCAGCAGGCCTGCAGGACCTTGGACGGCCGTGAGCTGAGCTGCAGGGGCATAGCTTGCCTGGCTCTTGGAGTGGTTACGTGTCCAGGCAGCCCTACACACACACATGCACACATGGCACACACACATACACACACACACATACACACACACACACATATATATATACCGCTTCTTAGAGGAAGAGGCATTGACATCAGAAATAAGCCCTTTTGAAACTCAAGAAAACTCCTCCCTGCCCAGCCTCCCCACCCCCCACTGCCTGCCAGGTCCCCCTAGGAAAAAAAAAAAGAATCTAAAAACATTTCCATCATCCACAGTCTTCAGGTCGCTCTGAACTTTTCCAAATACTGCACAGATGGACAGCATGACCCATCCGGCAGGGCCTGAGGTCTTCTCCACTGGGTCACGTCCCTGGAAAAGGACAAGTCCGCAGGTCAGCCTTCAGCGCGGGCAGCCCGCCACTGCTGCCATCCCTTCTTCTCCACTGTGCCCGGGCGTGGTCTGGCCCCAGACTAGTGTCCGGATCACCGTGACACACGCACACTGCTCCTCTCCATTCAGAGGCTCGTCTGCTTTGGCCCTCCTGGCCAGTATCCCCTGCCCACCCTGCCCAGTGCTGAGCACCAAGATGGTGCTCAGTAAAAATCAGCTGAAAGGGGCCGGCGCTGTGGCGTAGTGGGTAAAGCCGCCACCTGCAGTGCCGACATCCCATATGGGTGCCCGTTTGAGTCCCAGCTGCTCCACGTCGCATCCAGCTCCCTGCTCATGTGCCTGGGAAAGCAGGGGAGGATGGCCCAAGTCCTTGGGCCCCTGTACCCATGTGGGAGACCCAGAGGAAGCTCCTGGCTCCTGGTATCAGCCTGGCCTAGCCCTGACCATTGTGGCCATTTGGGGAATGAACCAGCTGTCTCTGTAACTCTGCCTTTCAAATAAATAAAATACATCCTTAAAAAATTGGTGTAGGCACTCTTCTCCCACAAACCCGTCTCATCTGCTGAAGCCTGGTGCCTAGACAGGGTCTGTGCTCCTGTTCAGTCTTTGGCTGTACCAAGGTTACAGCCCTCTCTGCCCACCAGGAGCCTCCCTGGGGCTGGGGTTGGGGACTGCCAGTGGACAGTCTGGGAGGCCATGTCCCCCTCTCCAGGTATGGCAGAGGGCTCTGTACCAAGACTGCCTCCGGGGGCCCTCGCTGGCTTTGATGATGTCTCGTGTAGCACCTGCTGTGGTGCTCAGCGCCCTGTATTGGAAGCACTTTGGGGTGCCAGGGTCATGGCACTGCAGGCGAAGCTGCTGCCTGTGACCACGCCAGCATCCCACATGAGCCCCACTTCGAGTCCCGGCTGCTCCGCTTCTGATCCAGCTCCCTGCTAATGTGCCTGGGAAAGCAGCGGAAGATGGCCCAAGTACTCCGGCCCTTGTTCCCAGGTGGAAGACTCAGATGGAGTTCCAGGCTCCTGGCTTAGCCCAGCCCTGGCCATTGCGGTCTTTTGGGGCGTGAACCGGTGATGGAAGATTCTCTCTCTCTCTCTGTCTTTCTGCCTTTCAAATAAATAAATAAATCTTAAAAAGAAACACTTCAGATGCTTTGTTGTAAAACACATCTGCCTGGACCTCATGCCAGGGCTACTGAGTCAGAGGGCTGGGGGTGGGGCCAGGGTGTGCAGTTTAGCAAGCGTCACAGGTGATTCCAATGAATGCTACAGTTTGCAAGCCTTGGTCATGCAGTGGTTCTGAATCATCACTTGGAAATCAGCTTGCTTGCACCAGGCACACGCAGACTGCAGAGTGGGTTATAAAAAGGACAAAGAGGAGGGCTGTGGATGACCAAGCTCAGAATGACACATTGAGTAACCCTAGTTATTTGTATTGTGTAATCACTGTGAACAGGCACCACCTGGATTGTGCAGTGCACAACCTACACCACAGCACCCAGCCATGTTGCCCAGACCCCCTGGCTCCTCTGATGCTCCTGGGATGTTGTATATCCCAGTGTCCTATGGTGGGACGGCTGGTGCTCCCAGCCAGCTGCCAACACAGTTCTTGTGTCAGCCAGAGCAAGGCAGTCCGCCAGGCCCACGGGTGCTTCTCTGTCCTGGGCCTGGCCCCTCTCGTGGAGCCTGGCTGAGGCCACCACAGTGGTTTTGGAGGCGCCCCTTGCCCGGGGGTGGTCGGTGCTCACCTGCCAGCTGAACTTGTGCGGCAGCCTCCTCTTCTTAGAACCTGGAGGTGAAGTTCCGGAGGCTGCTGGCCCCGGCCAGGGTCCCCAGCATGTTCCTGTCGAAGCCGTGCTGCAAGGGGACAGACGTCACCGTGTGACACCTCCTGGGGCAGAGCCGCGGGGTGGGGGGTGGGGCGCTGCGGGCTCGGAAACCCCACTCCCGGCGCTTCCCCGGGCTTGGGGGCTAAAGCTGGCCTCACTAAACGTGCAGCCAAACAGAATGCCGCTACCAGCCTCAAGTTCCCAAACGTGTGTGGACTTCCCCTGCGGCTTGCGGTTCCGGCTGTTGGACACCTTGAAGTCGGGCGCGAGAATGCAGCCTCCGCTCAGGGCTCTGCCAACAGATCCACAGCCAGCATCGCCCCAGGCAAGCTGGGGGGCTCCCCACTGACACGTGACGAGACACGGAGGATGTGCCTGGAGCTCCTCCAACCCAGGAGCAGGCGTGGTGCTGGCAGAGCGAAGCTGCTGTCCATTCACTAGTCTGTGCCCTGGCCTCTGGCCCCGTCTGAGCGCCTGCTGCCGATCGAGTCTTGTTCCTGTTATACAGCAGGTGCTCAATGCATGCTGCAGTGTGAATGAGGACCGAGCAGCTGTAGGTCTGGGCGCCTTTCAGAACAGGGCCCTGGTCCAGGCTGAGCCCGAGAGCCAGGTCAGCTGCGGCCGCACGAGGGGAGCCGTGGTTCACGGCCGGGCCCGACCATGCTCAGGCTTGTGTTATGAAACCTTGTTTTTTCAAGGCTGGCTGGCTGGCTCCTGTTGGCTTTGGCTGAATTTGGTGGGAAGAAGCCAGGAGTGAAAAGGCCTGGATCCCAGCCTGCCTCAGTGCACGGAGATGGATTCCTTGGACTCTGCCTCCCCATTCAGCATGATGGACACAAGCCACACGGCCTGCCTCACCTGTGCTCGGGACAACCCGGTTCAGGATGGGTAGGAGGGTGCTCGGAACAACAGCTGCTCCGGCCGGGAATCCGCCGGTACTGCTGCCCAGCCCCGCGCCGCCTGGGGATGCTGGGTCCCACAGGCCCTGCACCAGGTGTGAGTGTCCTGGCCTGCATGTGGTCTCTAAATTTGGGGGCGCGAGCTCTCCCCCATCCTCCTTGCCTGTCTCATCCTGCCCCGATTGTGGCGTTGTTGGCAACGCGCGCTCGGCAGTCAGATGGCCATTGCCACGGCTGTCACATCCTCTGGGCCATCCTGGACCATAGCGGTGTCCTGGGCCTCCCTCAGGACTGTCGAGCCTTCTGCCCCCAGAAGTGGCCACCCAGGCTCCAGGCCCCATCCCCCCATCCTCCTCCCCCTCGTCTCCCCTTCTCCTCTCACGACATGCACACTCGGGTCCTGTTTGCCTTTGTGTGCCCACCTTCTGTCTCCCTTCTTGCCCAGGTGAGCTGAGATGGGCAGCCTCCATCCTGTGCCCCCCACTGCTTTGCCCACTGTCCCGGGCTCCCCGGGGACCCCTGGCCTCGCCAGCACCAGCTCCAGGGCCTCTCCTGATCCCCCTCCTCCTTGTCCTCTGGGCAGCACTGGGAGCTGCTGCCCGCCCTTCTCAGAGCCTCTCTTCCTGCAAGGTCTCCCCCCCACCCTGCCCAGGCACCTTGCACAGGGCATCCTGCTTCCCTGGCCCTTCTGCCTCCTGGGGCCCCCTTCACGCCTCTGCCCTTGACCCTCAAGATTTTCTACAGGGATGTGCTTCCTAACAACGGGTCCCATGCCATATCCCACATGGACTCCCGCCCAAGTCCCCGGCTCGCCCTCTCCAAATCGAGACCCTCTTCCCCCCGGCCTCTCTCCACCGGATCTGTTTCTGGCTGTAACATGTCCCAGGCTAGAAGTCTGCACACGGCCAGTGTTTCCATTCTGCTTCTCCGGCCTCCTGTCCTTTGCCCCCGTCCTCTCTGCTGCCTGCATCTCTGCCCAAGGGCGGCCGCTGCAGCTCAGTGATGTCTTACAGAACGACACTGATGGAGGCCTCTATGCCCAACGAGGCTGGGAGGCGCTGAGGACAGAGGAGGGGCGAGAGGCACCCGCGGCTGCTGCAGGAGCCCCCAGGGCTCCGCACACTCTGCCTTGTTCCCTGGGGGAGGAATTCGTTTTGCTAGAATTGCTTTCAGCATCAGACCCTCTACCCAGACCCCTGCATGGCTCCCCCGTGTCAAAGGCACAGCACAAAGCCTGCGGTGTGAAACTGAACGGGTTGGTATCCAGCCGCGCGGAGCTTCCCAGCCCTGGCACACACCAGGCCCCAAAGGATGGGGCCTTTTGTCCTGTCTACTTCTCCATTTGCTGCTAAAGGACCCCACCCCGGGCCTCCCACTCATTTCCTGGGTGTCCCGAGCCCTCTACATGCTCGGCACCCCTCCTACGTCCCGAGTCCAGGGACTCGGGCTGCACGTTAGTGGGATTCATTGTCTGCTTCTCGGACTCTGCCAGGGACAAAACACCTGCGGGGCCAACCCGCCTCTCCCTTCCTGGTCCACTTGGGTATCGCCCAGCGCGGCTGGTTCATCTCATGACTTTAAGATGGCGAGAATGCAATCCACGTTTCCTAGAAACCGGACTGTGCATCTGATCTTTTCCGGGCCCAGCCGTGTGCCGTGCAGTCCTCTCTGGCCACGGTGAGCAAGCAGCCGTGGCTTGAAGGCAGCCCTATGGTCAGTTGGAGAGCAGCCGGCACCTGCTGTGTGCTGTGTGGCTAGGCTGTGATGCACGGCGAGCTCCAAGCTTAGCTGCATTTCCAAGGGACGTGGGTTGGGGGGCGGGGGCAGGTTGTGGCGCATGCGCACGGGGAGCATAGGGGGAGCCACACTATCAGAAGGGGCTGGGCCGAGGTGGGCAGGTGCGACGCATGCGCACGGGGAGTACAGGGGGAGATGCTTGGTCAGAAGCAGCCAGGCCAGGGGTGCTCACCTGTCTGAGGACGCCCTGCAGCTCCTTGTTGGACCACATGTCAGACAGGAGGAGCCGGGCAGCTTCCGCAGCCTTGGGCGAGGTGCTGGGCAGGCGGGAAGCACATTTGCAGGGGTGAGATTCTGGGAAGCGTGCGAAGGGACACCCCTCCCCCCCTCAGGGGTGCAAGACCGGCACAGCGGGCACAGCCCCAGGCCCTGCCTGCCTAGAGGCACTCCAGGACTCTCCTGGGGCCAGGAAGCGGGGGGGGGGGGGGTCCTGATGCTTTTCTCCTGGGAGGAGAGAGCTCACGGGGAAGCAAAAAGTACCCCGGCTAAGAAGAGGGCCGCCTCTGTGCCCTCTGCAGCCTCCTCTCCCGCTAGAGCCTCCCCAGGCCCGGCCCCGCCTCCACAGGCAGGGCTGGGCGGGGCCGCGCGCACCTGCCGCGGCACAGGTTGACCAGGTTGTGCAGCACGTTGCCATTCAGGTACTGCTTGGCCATCTGCGGCTGCGAGGCCATCAGATTCCTCACGGTGTAGCAGGCCGACGACAGGATGTCTTCGGAGTTGCTGGTGTTGCCAGTGTGGCTGGTGAGGAGTCTGGTCACTTCTGGGAACACTTGGTTCCCTGGGGAAGGAGGAGGGAGAGAGGCTGCAGGTCAGGACGGCCCTCTGGGGCCCCGGGCGAGGCTCCCCCAACCCAGGGCTTGGAGACCCAGCTGGACCCAGGGCAGACCTGCTCCCTGCCCCTGCTCTGCCCAGCTCCTCGCGCCCCTGCCCGGGCAGGCGGCCCCTCCTGCAGTGCGGGCGTGGTTGGCCGGCTCTGGGAGGCGAGCACCGTCGGGCGGCCTTACCCATGGCCCTGTGCAGCGCGGGGTGGCGGGACATGTTGCTCAGCAGGGAGGCCCCCGACCGCACCACATCCGAGTTGCCAGACTGCAGCAGGCGGGCGATTTGGGGCAGGCCCTTCTCCTTTAGCCCGATCAACTGGCTCATGCCGCTGGACATCTACGGGAAAAGGAGGTGGGGAGGCACTAGCCGGCGGCTTCCCAGCAAGCACCAGGCAGGCAGCAAGGCGGGGCTGCGGCGGACAGAGAAGGCAGGACCTCTCCTCTCTCATGTCGGAGGCCTGGCGGACACAGAAGTGTGCCCACACGTGGGCAGCTGCAGAGCAGCCAGGCGCACCTGTGCCTCCCCCTCCCTGAGTCTGCTCCGGGCTGGCCTGGGGGGCTCCCGGAGACCCCAGCCATAGGAAGTTCCTCCTCGGTTTGCCCCTGCCCTCTGCTCCGCAAACCCCTTTTGTCCTAAGTGAGGCTGAAGAACACCCGGCCGCTCCTCGCTCTGAGCTTGCTGCCTGCACACAGACCCCGGATCTACAGGCCCGCCTCTGCACCTGTCTGTGCCCACACCTTAATTCTCTACCTTGTGCAGTTCAACACGCGGGAGACCCCCCCTGCCACCACAAATACCTCCCAGGCAGAGCCCAGGGGCTGGCACGGGGCCAGGAGCGACAAGGCCAAGGGGACAGAATCCCCTGGGCCCGACAGGGATGACCCTCACCATCCCCCAGGGCCTGGCCCACAGGCCAGCCTGCATGGCTCGAGAGTGAAGCTCTGTGCCAGTGTGCGTCAGACAGAGCCAGACAGGGGGCAGAAGCCAGACTTGAGGCCGGCGAGCTGGGGGCCTATGGAGGGAGGGGCCCCACTCACCAGGCCCTTGCTGGCCGTCAGGTTCTGCAGGGCGCCAGCACAGGCCTCCAGGGTGGCATCTTTCTTACTCTTGCCCATGAGGTTCAGGTAGGTGCGGATGGCATCCGAGTGGTAGAGCCAGCTGCTGCCCTTGGGGTTGCTCTCTTCCTCGGGGAGGGGGAAGTCGTAGTTGTTGTTCTGAGGACAGAGAGACTGTGGGTGGGCAGCCTGGCCCGGGCACAGCCCCAGCGTTCTGCCCCTGGCCCCCACCCTCACAGTCCCGACCCGGTAACACCGACTGGGGCAGGGCTGGCCCGGGCTCTGACAGGCCCAGGAGCAGGGATCCTAGTGTGATCCCGAGGTTTACAGCTCCAGCATAGGCCTGTCCCCTCGGGCTGCCCGGCACTGGGTGGCGGTGGTGGCGGTGGTGGCCTGGCCGGCCACAGCACTCACCATCATCTTGTCGCTCTTGTTGCTGAAGCAGCCAGTGGAGGACTTTTCAGTGTAGGCATTGCGTGCGTTGTACTCCAGCTGGCGGTAGCGCGTGGGCACCTCCGCGTCCAGGCGGTAGGAGAGGTTGTGCAGGATGCACATGCAATTCTCCACTGACTGCAGGGTGGGGGGGGGCAGAAGATGAGCTGAGCCCCCGCCCAGCCCCCGCCTGCCCAGCCCCTGCCTGGCTCCGGGCCGCCACCTCCCTGGAAGAGTTAAGAGAGCTGCAGGGGCCTCGGCTGCAGCCACACCCTCGGCCTGGAAGGGTCTCCCAGGCACGCGTCTGGGCCCTGGCTTTGAGTCCCAGCTCTGTCATTTCCTGGCCGCTTGAACTTGAGTTCCACTTCCTGTTTCCTCGGCTGTCAAAGGGAACTAAAGTCGCCTACCTTACCAGGCTTCTGGGAAGACAGGGCCTAGGGAGCACCTGCCACGGGGCCAGCCCAGAGGGGGATGCAACAGACGGAGGCCCCGTTTCTATCGCTGTGGATGAAGCACCCACGGGCGAACTGGGAACGGAAGACTCCACTTCTGCCTTCCTGCAGGAGCAGCCCCCAGGCCCGTGCGTTCCAAGTTCATCTCTGCCCTTCTTGCTCCCACTCGCCGTGGCCGGTTGTCAGCCTCCAGCCTCAAAGGGGGCTGTGTGCACAGCACGGGGAGTCCTGGGGCCTGTGCTCAGGGTCCTCCCCATGGCGTCTGGCCCATACTGGGGAGCGGACCGTGCTGTTTCCCACACCAAGGAGCTGTGCTGTGGGAGCGTCGGCCTTCCGCTAGGCTATGCTCCCGCCACGAGCTTCCCTTCCGGCCCTTCCGTGCTGCGTGTCCCAGAGTGCAGGGAGGTGGCCCCGCCGCCGGCTTTTCTAGCAGGCTTGGGGGGCATAGCTCACCTTGTCATCACAGCGGCTGGCAGCCACGCAGTTCTGCACGTAGGCCATCAGGGAGTCGATGAGCCCCACGTAGTTGCGCATGGTCTGACGCCCCGCGTCCGCCGAGCTCAGGTTCCTGGGGGGTGGGGAGGAAAGGGAGGAAGGTGTGGGAGGATGTGGGGGAGGCTGGAGCCGCGAGAGGAGAGTGGGGAGGGGACAGAGTGTGGGGGCGGGGGACACGCAGGTGGGCACAGGGAACGGGTGGAGGTGGCAGGTTGTGGGAGGAAGAGGAAGAGGAAAGGAGTGAAGAGGGAGGAAGAATGGGAGAAAAGGAAGGCAGGAAGCAGCCTTTAGCCAGTGTGGCACACGTGTCCCCAGGCCCATGACGCCTGTCGATGGCTGCACTGCAGCCGGCAGCCCGAGGCCCACCAGGAGCTGGCGCTCCTCCCTGGCTGCTCTCCCTGTGTGGGGCGCAGGAGCAGCTGGGGAACGGAGCTGCAGGCTCTGGCAGGGCACCTGAGGCATGCACACCCCGTGCACAGCCTGAGGTGTGTCCCAGCAGCAAGCTGAGCCCCGGGCAGTCTGGGCCCACGAGCCTGCAGCCCGTAAGCTCCTCATCACAGGTGTCCTGGCTTCTCATCACGCGTGTCCTGGCTTCTCACCTCCCTGGCCTCTCTGCTCCCTGCAGGCTGCTGCAGGAGGCCGCCAAGAGGAGGTGCAAGTTGAGACAACTTCAGAAACACACGCCAGCTGCAACCCCCCATGGCGGGACCGCAGGATTTGGGGACGACAAACCCCATTAGAGCGAGTAGGACCCGAAGGGGATCTGGCTCCATGGCTCCTCACTCGGCACCAGCACCCACCCCATCCCCCACTCCCCACCCCCCAGCTTGGAGAACAACCCGCAGCGACTGTGCCACACCCTGGTGTGGAACTCAGGAAACCTCGGGCAAGGCAATGCCATCTTCATGCCAATGAACGTGGCAAACAGCTTTCGCAGCGCAACCGGGAAGTGACTCATGAGCTGTCAATCAGCGCACTTTTGTCTAAAAGAAAGCTCTTCAAGATGGCACAAGAAATGCAGTTTTCGGTGAGGGGGGGGGAGGGCTAGGAGGGGCAGCCTCCCAGTCTGAACCAGTCTGGCCCTGCAGAGCCAGGCGTTTGGATGTCTCAGAGTTCTAGTTCATGCCTGCCGCGCTCCCCACAGTGGGCGGCAGGGGCTGGAGGGAACTCAGCAATGCCTGGGTCCCCTCGTCCGGGCACCAGGCCCTGCAGACAGTGCCAGGCTGCACGTGATGTCCGCCGCCCTGTCTCAATGTCAGCGGACGCGGGCTGCCTGCGAAGGGCCCGCAGCCGGGGCACAAAGAACCCACGTACTCCCCCCCGCTCTGACCTCAGGCAGCCCGTGGCGTTGAAGAAGACCTCGGGGTCCACCACGTCTCGGGACACGTTGCTGTTGCCGTCGCACCAGCCGGAGAAGGGGATGATGACGCGGTCGGCCAGGACGGGCAGGGCGTCGGCCACCAGCTCCTCCTTCAGCTCGTCGGTGGACGACAGGTTCCAGAGCAGCCCTGGGGGTCGGAGACAGTTGGCCCAACACAGGCCAGGCTGAAGAAAAGCCAGGGACTGCACTACACTGCCTGTCTGGGCTCTTCCCGGCGGGCCTGGTCCATCAAACTCATTGTGTCCACTTGTTCCATGAGCACTTTGCTTAACGTGCCAACCAGACGGAGGGCCGTGGCAGAGTTCTCCGCCCAGGTGGAAATTACGCACGTGGCAAGTGACCAAACAGGAGCTGATGGATGGGCGCCTTCTAACAGAAGTGTCAGCGCCTGGGGTGTTCCAGCGCTCTTTTCCCCTGGAGGTGATTCCAGACCACAGATCTGCTGTGACTCTGTGCCTGCCTCATCCACCCGGTCCAACTTGAAGTCTTCGCGGTGACTTCTCTGGCTCTGTCCCCACCTCCAGTGCTGAGCATAGATCCCTAGCACGGGGTTAAGGCTTAAGACCTGCTAACCCCTGCCCTCCATCTGCCTGCCTCTCTCCCCAACAGATCCCAGGGCTTGCTGACAACAGATTCTCCCCCTTGCCCTCCAACTCCAAAAGACCCAGCTTCCCTGTGGGTGGGCACACCATTCAGGGTCACCATCTGGACACCACACCAGTGCCACCAGGGCCCCGGGACTTCAGCCCCAGGCCAGATCTGCACAGCTGTGCCTCGGATCTCGCACCCCGGCTGAGGGGCGTAGTCTCCTGCGACGCCCCTGCGCTCCGTGCTGGGGTGCCCTACCGGTCAGCTGCTTTTGGATCTCGGTGCTCCCGGTCCGCCTCAGGAGGCTGACGGCCTCGCGGATCCCGCCCTGTCTGCGGGTCTCCAGCTTGTTGGTGGCGCTCCTGAACACCAGGTTGCGCAGGGCGCCCGCGGCCGCCTGCTGGACGTTCTGGTTAGGGCTGCGCAGGAGGTCCACCAGCTTGCAGATGCCGCCCAACTGGTAGACCTGGTGGAAGAGGGGCCACGTGGCCCGGTCAGCAGAGGTGAGGCTGATGTGGTCAGGGTCTACTCACACGGGCCAAAAAGGACTTTAGTCCAGAAACACCCGGGTCAACCGAAAGGAATAAGCAGCATGAGGTCACAGGAACCGAGCCAGACCCGGAGCCGGAGACCTGAATTCAGATCCCGGCCCCCGTGCCCTGGCTGGAGACCATGCACAAGTCACTCATTTTCCCTGAGCCCTGTGTGGCAGGGGAGATCAGAGGGAACGTGGACATAAACACACTTCAGAATCCAAGCAGGGGACTGGCATTGCAGTGCAGGGGTTGAAGCATCGGTTTCAGTCCCGGCTGCTCACCTTCCAACCCAGCTCCCTGCTAGTGCACCTGGAAGGGCAGCAGGAGATGGCCCACGTGCTTGGACCCCTGCCACCTGCATGGGAAACCTGGATGGAGTTGGCTTGGTTTCAGCCTGGCCCAGGTCCAGCCATTGCAGCCATTTGAGGAGTGGACTAGAGGATGGAAGATATCTCTCTCTCGCTCGCTCTCTCTCTCTTTCCTTGTCACTCTTTCAAATCAATAAAATAATTCTTAAAAAAAGAGAAAGAAAATTCCAAGCTGAACACCGCCATAAGGGAGACGCACCCACGGAAACCCAGGCTCCTGTGGTACACAGTCGGATGCAAACTAACCCTGGCCCCTGGGCAGCCCACTTATGGCACCACCTCCCTGAGCCTGCAGGCGTCTTCCCTGGGAGGTGCCCACAGGCTGTTTGCCTCCATGAGATGGTGACCGGGAGGGAGCTGATGCGTGGGGCACAGCCATGCTCTTTGGCAGAATCTGAGAAAGCGGATTTCTGATGCGCTCACGGAGTGACAAGACCAACGTGGGAAATGCACCTGCTGAAGTCCTCTCACCCAGAGGCCTTTGCTCTGCACAAGGCTAAGGTGCCCAGCTTCAAGCTTGGGCAATGCCAACTCCTTGCCCCTGGCTCCTGGGCAGGGTGGGAAGAAATCACCTGCAAATCCCACCCCCCACACACCTCTGTCTCTGCATGTAGGGCCAGGCTGGCACGCCCAGGCCCTGCCAGGCTCCCCGAGGAGGAAGGGGTGCAGCTGGTTACCTGCTGCTTGGCGGATTCATCCTGGAAGCAGGTGTGCTGGATGTAGTAGGCCCCGATGGCCTGGTACTTCTCGTCCTGGGAGCTCAGGTACTGCACAGCCTTGGGGATGGTCAGCCCACTGCACTCAATGTCCTCGCTGCAGATCCTGCCAGGAACAGGCGGGGCGGGGGGCAGAGGGGGCACAAGTGAGCAGTTACAGGGTGCGTGGGTGCCCTGGGGAGGGGCCCCAGAATTTCTCCTTGCACACCCAGCCTCGTGTGCCCACTGTGAGCTAGAACAAGGCAGCCCCAGGCCCACCTGGAGAGCGCCTGTGGGACAGCTCCTCTAGGGAGGAAGGGCTCACCCACTGGATCGCCCCCCACATGGAACACAGGCTGTGGCGAGGCCCTGGTCGTGGGCCAGTGTCCCAGCAGGTGGCACTGCCTTGTGGGAAACTCTGCGCCATTCCCTGAGGTACGTGCCCACCCACACTGCCATCTCTCATGGCATTGGGCAAGTGGAAGAGAATGGCTTGAGCCCATCCACTCCTCCCTCCGTGCCCAAGTCCAGCTGGCTCTTCTTGCACAAATGTTCTCCCCTCTACTCCTTCCCATCCTCATGGTCACCACTTTCCTACTTTATTTTATTTTTGACAGGCAGAGTGGACAGTGAGAGAGAGAAAGACAGAGAGAAAGGTCTTCCTTTGCCGTTGGTTCACCCTCCAATGGCCGCCGTGGCCGGCGTACTGTGGCTGGCGCATCGTGCTGATCCGAAGCCAGGAGCCAGGTGCTTCTCCTGGTCTCCCATGGGGTGCAGGGCCCAAGCACTTGGGCCATCCTCCACTGCACTCCCGGGCCACAGCAGAGAGCTGGACTGGAAGAGGGGCAACCAGGAAAGAATCCAGTGCCCCGACTGGGACTAGAACCCGGTGTGCTGGCGCCACAAGGTGGAGGATTAGCCTATTGAGCCACGGCGCCGGCCACCACTTTCCTATTGATCACAGTCACTGTCAGGGTGACCAAGGGACCCCTGCAACTGGCTCTCTTCTCCAAGCTCCCCTTGACCAGGCAGCTGGTCCCCAAACCCTGTCCACTGCACTGTTTGTTCCCCAGCTCAGAAACCAGCAGCCTGCATACTGCAAGGCCAAGTTCAATCTACTTAGGCTGATATCCATGGGCGTGAAGCACAGAAAATGGTGGACAGCCACCAAGCAGAAATGTCGTGTTTTAACCCCGGGGTCTGGCTCCACTGGGGTCTTGCACGTTCCTCAGCCCCAGCCATGTCGCTCCCCCACAGCGCCCTGGCTGGGTCTCAGGCTCACTTGACCGTGGCCTCAGGTCGTGCTGGAGTCCCATGCCCATAGAGCTTCCCAGGGAAGGGAAACCCTGGGCCCCCCTGGTGTGAGGTCACAGGCTGCCCTTCCCCCTGACTGTGGCCTGCACCCCAACAGAGAGCGAGGGCCCCTGAGGGCAGGGGCACATAGCCCTCCCCTGCTACCTGTCCTCGGCATTTATGGAAGGAGTTCCTTCCTCTTTGCTAGTAGACTCATACTTTGCCATAGTAGGTGCTCAATAAACGCTCATGGTTTTAGCTACAGCAACCCGACTTCTGGGAAAAGCACTCCAAGGGCAGAGCTGTCGGATGTTGGCTTAGGAGCACCCCCGCCCTACATCGACTGTCAGCCAGTACCGGCCAGTCCAGCGTCCCCTCTTGTCACTCATCCCCTCCATAGGTCACTGAGAGCCCCACTCGGGGCCAAGAAACCAGGGTCAGGGGCGGCCCCGGTCATTCTCCAGGTCAGCTCGGGGCTGTCCTGCACGTGGCTCTGTCCCCTGCACTCACCAGAGGCGGCACGCAGCAGAAGCTCAGGGGTTGTCTGCCCAATCAGGGGTGCCAAGCACAAGACCCCGGGCCCCCGGCTGCTCCCCAGTGCCTGTGGCTGTCCATGGGCACCCAGGGGTCTCCTTCATCCCCACTGGCCGCTGGCCGGTCAGCATTTGCGGGAGGAGGTGTAAGCTGCCCCTTAGCGCCGGACCACGCCCTCACTGTCCCAGCAGTCCTTTGGACTCCCCCGTCTGATAACAAGACCGATGACTCATTCTATCCCCCATAGTCTCCACCAGGGCACATTTCTTTGCTCTTTGGCACTTGGATGGAGAGCAGCACGCCTGAGATCAGAGCTTCTCCAAGGCCAGCGTGCACCGCCCCGCTATCGCCTGGAGGGGGCCCTCTTCCGGTGTCGCTGAGTCAGCAGCTGTGGGCAGGGCCTGGTAATAAGCGTTTCTACCACTCCCAGGTGAGGCTTAGCCTGCTCATCAGAGGAGCGCACTTTAGGTGGAGTCTGACTCCGCTTCACAGCGAGAACTCCCCGAGGCCAGAGGTCTATGAGGCTGGGGCCTCCTGGGACAGAGGCCATGTGTCTCCCATCATCCCAGGACCCCACGCAGATGCAGCCAGGCTGACGCTTGGCCCCCTGGCCCAGCCCAGCCCAGCTCAGCGCAGCAGCACTCACTTGGAGCTGGCCCTCGAGTGGCCGAAGGACAGGTCCTTGTTGCAGATGGTGGGCACACACACCGGGTCCTGCTTGGAGGTGCAGGAAGGTGGGCGCACAGGGCACTTCTTGGTGGTCTTCTGACCGCTGCAGGTGCTGTAGAAGCTGTAGCGGTTCTGGCTGGTCTTTTGGCCCTTGCTGCCGAGCGTGCCCTTGCGCAGGGTACCCCGGGGGTCGCAGTAGAGGTCAGGTTCGCTGCGGCTGGCCTTGATCTTCTGCATGAAGCAGATGTCGCTGCCCGCGCCCGTGGTGTTGTAGCTGCCCCGGGGGTAGTGGCGGCCCCAGTTCTCCATCTGGCTGTAGGAGCTGAAGCGCCTGTTGTCCGTCTCCCGCTTGAGGGTCCCATTGTAGATCTGGCCAGGGGAGAAGGAGAGTGGCTCAGTCAGGATTCTGGACTGGGGGGCCCTGGGGCCCTCGCCTAGCCCCCACAGCACTGGCTTAGAAGGGGACGGTGCAGGCGAAGAGCATCGGGTACCAGCTCAGTGCAGGAAGGGTGTGGGAGGTCCCCAGAGGAGAGGGGCCTGCCAGCGGCCGCTTGGTAGGGGAAAAGTGTGAAACTGGGACTTGAGCCTGTTTCTTCATGCCCTTGCCCTGTCACCCTGGGCTGTTGCGACCCCAGGAGCTCCGGACACAGTCAGCCTTCCTTGGGCACTGTACTCAGTGCTAGGAAACTTCTGTTTCCCCACCCCCACCCCAGGACAAGCAGTAAATGGGAACAAGTCCCCTGCAGGGAACCCCACGGAGGCCAAAGAGGGACCCTGACCGTGCTCCTGCTTCTAGCGCCCCCTGCGGGCTAGTGGCTGCAGAGCGGGGTGCAGGGATGAGGGAGGGGGGCTGGGCAGAAGTGATAGCGGGTGCCCCTCCCCGGGCTCTGTGTGAGCCCACCTGTGGATCGAGCCTGCCGCAAGCAGCCTGCAGAGCCGGGCCTCGGTGGGAACGTGCTGGGGAGCGCTGTCCGAGGAGCCCTGACACTCCCAGGAGTCTGCAAGCCGGTGGGTCTGGCCTGCTGGGACTTGTTCTCGTCCTACAGGCTTAGCCCCGAAAACGTCTCCACACAGCTGCTGAGCCGGGCCTCGCCTCTGCTGGGATGAGCCGGGGCCAACTCCAGCAGCCTGGTGCCTGCCCGCCCCACCCTGAGTGTGAGTGTGTGTGTGTGTGTGTGTGTGTGTGTGTAAGGGAGGTAGGTCGTTAGGCAACTGGGTAATTCCCCTCCACACCAGATCGAGCCACCCAGGCCTGGGGAGAGTCTGGCCTTCAGCCGGACCCCTTTTATCCAGGCAGGGAGACATACAGGACAGGTAGCAGCCATGGGCCAAGCACCCAGGAGCCAGGGTCTCAAGCCACCTGTGAAATGTGGCCACACACTGCTCACCTGGGCAATTCACCCACATGCCCAGCTGTGTACTCAGGTGGGCACAGTTTTCTTCCTCAACGGGGTCACACCAACCTACTTTGAAGGACACTGGTACGTGGCTGTTGGCAGGGAACAACAGGGCAAGAACCAGGCGGCGGCCAGGGAGCCGGGCAGTTCTCTGAGACTTGGACATGGTGTGGGCGTCTTGCAGGTTCCATGTAAAATAAGCAGTCAGCCGTCCACTGCGCCAGCCCAGGGTCACTGCCTCTCCTCCTCCCAAGGGGACCAGGGGGCACACGGCACATGGGAGGGGAAGCTGGGGGCTCCAAAAGGCTGGCTAAGCCCTCGGCAGAAATACAACAAGGAGTTTCCTTGTTCTGGTCAGCGACACGCCCAGACCTCGGCTCAGACGCCTGCCGGGGAGTCCAGACGCTGGCCTGGCCCAAACCCAGGGAGATGCCATCAGCTGAGCCCCACGGGCTTTGGACTCGGCTCCCCTGAGCTGGGAAAGGCAGCAGCAGGCTGCCCTGTTCCATCTCAGTGAGGGTGGGCAGCCCAAGGGAGGGGAGCAGCGGGGGTGGGGGGGCAGAATGGCCCTGGGGGCACAGCATTTCCCAGTCCAGCTCCCACCTGCCACACGCCAGCGGCTTCCCCTCTCCCTGGGAACCCCACCTCCTGGCTCCTGGCTGTGCTGTCTGGGTCTGTGACTGAGGGCGGCTGTGGACGACTCTCCCATTACCCCCGTCCCCCACTGTCACCGTGACAAGCAGAAGAGCCCCTTCTCAGCCAGAGCCCTCCTCCCCTAGCGCCGACGACCTATGGCCCAGCTTCAGCCTTCAGCCTCTCGGTTGGGCATCTTGGGAATCCAGAACATTCCCCCGACTCACTCGGCGGAGACGCTGTGGTGGAAGAAGACCGGGAGCATGGAACTCAGACTCGGGGGCCAGATAGCTGTGGGCAAGGCAGTGGCCTGACGGGCGCCCTTGGACAAGCTCCCCAAGCCCAGCGTGCACGGCTTGGGTCGTAACTGCCCCCAGTGTGCGGAACTGCTGGGAGACTCAGATGCACGAGGGTTGTGTTTGCTGAGTGGGGAGCTCGTAGCCCTCGGCTTGCACACCTGGGGCAGGTTTCACATTGGGAGGGCTCCCAGGCCACACCTAAAGGAGCCACCAGGTGCATGGATGAACAGGACAGGAGCTCACAGGAGTCTCGGGGTCCCAGGTGTGGCTCGCCCCACAGCTGCAGAGCAGGCCTATATATGCTCCTGACGGAGGAGTGCGGTCCGCCCACACACACGTGGGGGAAGCCAGGCTTTCGATGGGATGCGAGGCGTGCATGCGGTCGGCGCCTCTTCCCGTGGGCTCCTGCGGCAGGACAATGCTGCATTGTGCAGGACGTTCAGTGCCCCTGGCCGCCAGGCCCTCACCAGCACTGCCAGGTGTGGCCGGGGCGGAAGGCGCGCACGAGAGACAGCTTTGCTGCCAACGCCAGGTCTCCCAGCCGCACCCCCACACCCAGATAGGGATCTGCTGCTGGCTTCCTCCTCTCTGAATACAAAGGACAGTGTCTCTCTCACACACACTTCCCTCAGGTGGGATGGTCCATGTGTGAGAACATTCCAGAAGCTAGATGCTCAACTGCCCTGGGAGCAGAGCTGACCGCTTGCCCTGACAGCAGGCTGGACGGGACAGCCAGGTGGAGGCTCCAGGGTGGTGCCGTTGGGAGTTGGTGCTCAGAACCACGGTCCACGGCAGGCTGAGGAGGGCCGCCTCAGCCAGGACCCTCCCTGGCCGGGCCCTGCTCTGCACCCCCCCCCCCTTCCATTAATGACTTGGGTTTCCTCGTTCCCCACCTTTCTTTTTTTTTTTTTTTAATTTTTTTTTTTTGACAGGCAGACTGGACAGTGAGAGAGAGAGGCAGAGAGAGAAAGGTCTTCCTTTGCCATTAGTTCACCCTCCAATGGCTGCTGCAGCCAGCGCACCGCGCTGATCCGAAGCCAAAAACCAGGTGCTTCTCCTGGTCTCCCATGGGGTGCAGGGCCCAAGCACTTGGGCCATCCTCCACTGCACTCCCAGGCCATAGCAGAGAGCTGGCCTGGAAGAGGGGCAACCGGGACAGAATCCGGCGCCCCGACCCGGACTAGAACCCGGTGTGCCGGCGCCGCTAGGCGGAGAATTAGCCTATTGAGCCGTAGCGCCTGCTCCCTCGTTCCCCACCTTTCTGCCCCTCCCCCTTCCTTGGTGGAGATGTGGGTTTTGACCCCACCTCTCCCATCCTGGTTCTCAGGAGGAAGCTCTCCCAGGCCACGCCCTCTCGGGACTGGCAAGGAGGGAGACGGAGCACAGGAAGGCAGCATGAGCTCGAGGTCCAGGGCCCCGAGCAGGTGAACGCGCAGCACGCCTCGTCCGAAAGGTCCCACAAGAAGAAGGGCTCCTGTTTGCCCAACACCACGGGTACTGCGGCAACCAATCACCTGGACAGAGGTGCTGCCCTCCGTCCTCTCACCTGTCCCCTCCCCGCATTGCACCTGCTGCCCAGACTTTCCTCTTGCCCGCCCCAGTTCCCCAGCAGGCGACTCCAGCACCAACCACCAGCTCCCGACTCCACCCTGGGGCGCTGCGACGCCATCACCTTGACCTTCGCCAGCAAAGCATCTCCAGCCCTCCTTGCTGCAGAGCCTCCTGTTGTCTACTGCCTACAGGACGAGGGCAGTGGCCTGCCCCCACCCCCCAGCCTTGTCTGCCCTTGCCCCAGACCCCCCCACTCCCTGCTTCTGCTCAGTCTCCCCCCACGGCCTCCAGACTCAGGGGTACGGGGGCTGGGATGCCACCCCGGCACACCTGGGGGCCCATGGTCCTGCTGCTTCTCTGGTTGCTCCCAGAACTTTCTGTCTCTCTTCCACATTCTCCAGAGAAAGATGCCCTTTGCTGGGCCTAGCCTGGGGCTGGGCGCACAGCAGGGGCTGTGTTTGCCGTGAGAACTTGTGCTGGGGATGGAGATCTGGGCTCCTGCCAGACTCAGAGGAACCCTGGGAAGGCAGGAGGGCTCCGGGCAAGGCGAGCCCGTCTGTGAAGGCGGCACAAGCCAGGCTCAGCCTGTGACAGTCGACCTGACCTGGGTGACGGCCGCTGGGTGGTGAGCCCAGGGGGTTCTGCTGCAGCTCCGGCGGGGCAGACAGAAGCTGCCTGACCCCTCGGGAGCAGGGTATGTGCTGGGCAGGCCGAGATGAAAAGAGTGTCTGTGTCCCCAGCTATTAGCCCATTTTGAAACGAAGCTTCTGCCAGCAGGGTGGGGTCGCCAGACCGGCTCTGCAGCGGCCACGCCCTGCTCTGCTGTGTGCTGCGAGTTCCCACCAGGGCCACCTGCAGCAGCACAGTCTCCCCACGCCCTTCCCACGATCACGAGCGCGCACACGTGGCTGCGTGGGGTCCTGGCACCCCTCCTGTCTGCTGAGGACCTGCACTGCAAGCCCTCGAGGGCAGACCCCCCTCCCCATTTTCCTAGCACCTGCCACGCCCCGCTCCGTGCCCATCCGAGGGGCTCTCCAGTAGCCCCTGGCGTCTGTCGGGGTTTGGGCCGGATCTAACCATCCCGAGACAGCAAGGTGCACCTCTGCCGGCGGCTGGGCAGCTCGGCTGTCGCCCTCTGCGGGGGTTTGGAGAACCAGGTCCTCTCCAGCAAGGGGCCCAGGGTGTGGGGAGCTCCCCTAGAGGGGCAGGGTGGCTGCTGACTCAGCAGTGAGTCAGCATGGCAGCCAGCAGGGCCTGAGTCACCGTGGCTGAGCCTTCACCACGGAGAGCTCGGTCCCTGTCTCCCCCGGGCACGGCTCCCTCTTGAGAAGGGGGAGGTCCCTCCCGGGGGGAGCCCCACGGCTCCAGAGCCCTCACCTCTGCCTTGAGAGCAATCTCATTCGCTCTCGGACGAGGCTGAGCCTCATTTGTGGAGGCCCCAGAGGCAGAGAGGACAGCAGCCATTGATGGCGTCACCCGCGGTGCCCAC